AGTCTTAACCAACAAGTCACTGATCACCTCAGCAGGATGATGAGAACCTTATCAGATGTCTCCAGACTGGAGGAGAGTCTGATCCAAGGCAATCTAATTTGAGTCATGTTACTAATGGGTATGGATGTACTCTCATAGGGACAGATGTGATTTCAGTACAGATCATGTCTGTCTGGAGGTGTTTTCCTGCATGTATCATACATGTATGTGAGTACAGGCAAAAAATGTCTGTGATAGACAGACCTAGGGTGTTATGGGCTAGGGTATTCATACAAGAAAACACAGTCAAGTGGAACACTAGGAAACAATGACATCCAAAAATGAATTGGCTGCAGTGGGTTAAGATCCGCACCTTGAATGGTCCATCCTAACTTTAGTTTTAAACCTTCCCAGTGAATGTGAGGGAGTGTCTGAGGTACAACTGTTACAAGTTCACACTTAGCAGTTGTACTTTCTACATTTGCCCATATTAAAATTATTCAACAAAAAATCACTTGAATTCCTAGTACATGATCTTTGTATTCCTGTTGTGTCTGAAGGTGTCCTCTAATAAATAATTCCTAAATCTAGGAGCAAAACACCTGGTAGCTGTTATTATGTGTCATAAAACGCAGCACTTTAAATCCTGACCATTAGTTCCCAAGATATAAAGATGACCATAATGTTGGTAGTTTCCTTCAGTTAGGGTGGCAATTCCGCTGTGTAATAGCACATGGTAAATGCATAACTGCTTATACAGCCCCCACGGCTTGGGGCATGTTCCATGCATGAAATGTCAATTTCACATTTGAGAACGTTTTGGTCTAAAGTTATGTTGGAGTTCGCAAAATTGACCCAAGAAGAAAAGTTTGGTTCATTTTATTTGATTCGTTATTTTTTCAGTTACAACCAAACCGAATGCCTTTGATATGATACATGGTAGATGTTTCTTTCACTGAGATAATCGTAAAAGAGCCCTGACTGTATAAATGCACAGCAACGTCCCAAAAATGGCCTGGAAAATTGATTGTGGGATAGATGTATATTTCACTCAACCAATTAGCTGTGTGGGCAATTATTTTTTTATGTTTATTGTCTTTCTGGCATTCTGAATTCCACAGTGTCTAGTAGGGGAACAATTTAGAACAATGTAGACCATGATCTATGCTGGGTTTTTCATGGCGAATAAATTACTATGCCATTTAGTAATGACAAAATGGAAGAGCAGTAACGTTTCTCTCGATGTAATTGACACATACAGAATGTACAATAAGCACTGCAAAGAAGTGTTCTACAAGGGAGAATGTATGCATGGGAGGTAAATCAGTATTGTGTGTGTGTGCCCCAAAATACGACACTAAGCATGCCCTGTCCAAATGTTTCACAAACTCAATGCCTTTTAGCTGTTCGAGACAAGAGAAAAATAAAGGCTCACATAAATGGAAAGCGCAGAAATGTGACCAATGTGATGTTTGGATGTCTTCATCCTTCAGTTTCACTATCTGCATTGTACAGACCAGCTTTGTCACTGTGACCAGCTTGACAGAAGTTAGAGCAGTAATGTTGATCAATGAAAGGATTACATTTAGGAACTAACAAGGCATAAAGTTTTGTTCAGAGGCATGTACCTGGTAGTATTTGCATTTGGGGTTACCGTGTGGGCAGCAGCAGTGTGCGTGACATTCTGTGACATTCATCGACAAGGACAGCCAGGACAGGAGACTTCATTTGCAAACCCCAGTGTGCTGATTGAACATGGCAGGTCAGACTGCACCGTTTCTGCCATGCCCTCACTGGTAATTGAAGAAGATGGTTCAGTCTGCGATTTCAAACTCACCTGCATACTGGTGAGAGTAACTTGCATCTTAATGTCCAAACTATCCCAAAAGACACAAATCAGCATGATTTTGATGGCTATAACAGAGTCGTAATAGCTTCCAACTTTGTTGGTGTTATACCATATTATCCATAAGGAATTCAATACTCAGCATGTTTTGTAATTTATGCAAATCTATGCACTACTTGTCTAGGCAAGACTTACTCAATATTATCATTTGTGGGGATCTGAATACTTGAACAGGTGTGCTTGGTGATTGTATTGTAGGAGTGGACAGACACATCAGACACTTGAGAATTGTCAATTTCCTTGTAATGCCCCAATGGTTGTCTTAATATGTGACTGTGTACTTAATTTGAGTTCGAGTCCAACTCACATGGTAAAATACATGGTACTTCTTGTATGGGTTTGATATTAAGGGATCATTGTAGATTACCTGATTGCAATTTGAAGTGATGTCGTATACAGTCTACTCATTTTGATAGACAAGTAAGGCCACAGATATTATTAACAGTTCTGTGTAATCTTGTGTATGATAGCCAAGTTTACAGTACCATTGATTTTGGCCAGTTTCCCAGGAAAACAAAATCTGTAAATCTGGCTTCTTTAGAAAGATAGTCAGCATTACGCAACAGTGACCGTGCCCTAATAACAAGGCTCTGCAAAATATCGATGATATGCCATTATTTTCATGAAACAGGATAAAAAAAGAGTGTGTTGTAATTCTTCATGTTGCAAAATAATTTTTTTGTATATATTAAGCATCTGAGATTTTTCATCAGGAGAGGGTGTGAAAAAAATTACTATATAATAGGTCATTGGAGACTAGTGTAAAAAGAACACTATCATCTACTAGTAACAACTTGTACAGTGTACAGTGTACAAAAAGTTTCAAAGCCTGTCTCATCAACAATTAAACGTTAATGATCTCTGTCAGCCCTTGACCCAGTCCAGTCCAGGTAATCCCTCCTAAAACTCAGTCCCATGTAGTAATTAGCCCAGAGCTCGTGGTATTCTATGTGAGTTTGATCATTTATCCATGCCTTAAGTCCTGGGCTTACTTTCCTCAAGGGTTATCATCGGCAATAATGACTTTATGACCTTTGTCTCTTCTAGGAAACTGGGGTGATTCAAATTAACTACCTTTGGCCCAGGAATCATTAATCCCAGTTGGTGTATCGATCCAACCTGTCATCCTCTTTGTGTGGGTAATTTCTGTTCAAGTGGACTGGGCATTAAGGTTGGACCCTTGAGCTTGCCATTAGCCCTAGGCCCTTAACCTGTGCTGCTCTTTAATGGCAAATTTTGTACACAGAGCTCTGTAATGGTTAATTTGGTAGGTGTAAAATTGTCCTTGCTTGTTACATTTTGCTTTTGTGGGTAACAACAGCTGACAGTAAACAGGTGCACTTAGTCGTAGTTGTAAGTCAGGCTGAGCTTAAATCGACAGAGGCCCTCAACTTTGCCAGATAGATATTTAAAGGGTAAGTCAAGGATTTAAGCAGCTCCCAGCTGACCTATATACATCTATATGTGCTGTAAATAATGCGGACTTGATGATGGTATGGATGAGCCTTCTCCCATGGACTTATCTTTAGTATGTGCTAATTGGTCACGGCGTAAGTCAGCAGAACAAAAAATCAATTTTCAGTTGTACTGAGACAGTTGTAGTTGCTGAAGTTGATATGACCAGTTGATAGTTTTTTCATTAAATCAGTGGCTCATGTTTCTTCAACGTGACGCAGTCAGGCATAATTATAGGGTAGTGCAATATGGATACCACTGTGTCACACTACCTGCCAATCGAAACCAATCTCTGGTCGCAAGCCCCACAGCAGGATTCATATCTCCACCTTAGCAACTATACCCAAGTACTGAGCCAGCCTGTTAGTGAGAATGTCTGACACCTTTTATAGCTGTGATCTGCAGATATCGATGGCCTTGCCCAAATACTGAACCCATACGGGGAACCAGATCCAGTATATTCAACATTCTGTTGACTGAGTTACCAAGCATTAGTGAGCACTGCGCACCATGTACAAATGTATGGAGCAATGAGGATGTACATGTACAACCATATACTTTTTCAATCCAAGCACTTTGGACCATGTGTAGAAAAATGGTGTGCATGTTGAACTGAATAACCTCATCAACATAAACAAGTTATTGTTTCACTATAATTTAGAGCACAGCAAATTGCAGAGTATGTAAATAATGGGTGAAAAAAGGACAAGGCAAGGTTAATCACCATTTGTATAGTCAACAACCCAGGCCTCACAGTAATTTCAGAAGCATCTTGCTGGTGTCGCATCAGTGCTTTTGCTGGAACATTGTGCAGAAAATGTGGCCAATTTAGCTAAAGGTTAAAAAATGGATGGCCAGTAGTATTTTAAGTGCTCATCTTTATCGAAAATCTACTTTTCTCCCATCGATGTAGGTACTTTAGAGACACCATTGGTGACAGCTGGATCTAAAGATCACTTCTATGATGGGTAGAAGGTCAAATTTCTAACCCTGTCTGTAAGAATGGATGGTTAGTGCTTTTATCTGTCATTACTCCCAGAAACCTTTTGCCAGGCAGCTTATATTAACTGTCAATTCAGTTTGGTATGTAATCATTACTGTGTTGTAATATGAAATTGAAGAAACATTCAATTTTTTGCAGTATGGAGAACGAAAAGGTCAGTCTTAGAGTGTTTTTATTCCTACCGTTGTATCTAATGGATTTCCTGTTGTGTAATACCTTTAGCTTTTCCTTAGGAAAATTGTCTTTTTCTGGAAAACAAGTCAGAGACACGAAGACAAAAAGGGAGAAAAAAGGGAAATGAAGGTTTAGGAAATTGTACAATGTACATGCTGGTGTACATTTTATCTAATTGCTCATTACCACTAACAAATTTGTTAAGAAAAAAATGATGCATCTGTTGGTTAAAAGCCAACAGATTAAGAGGAGCATGATTATGTCCCTGTGGAAAATGATTTGAGTCACCCTTATGCATAATTGGTAAATGATTACAGCTACCTTACGACAAATGTTCATTGTAAATTGTTACATTTATAGCTATTCTGTTACTTGCTATTGTGAACCATTATGTTATCCTTGAATGCTCTTCTGTTGAACAATACCAAAGTATGTAAGCATGTGAGAATCAAGGCTAAAATGTTAATACAAAATAGCACTTACCACTGTCCCTGGAAACAAATCAGCACACCATGCTTTTATACTCTGTCATGAGCAAGCTTGCCCACAGAGTCGTTTTTGCCCCAACACCAATCTGCACGCAAATAGTAGGGTTGTCACACACACCAGGCAGCGATCTCCCACGTTGTGCGGGGCTGACGAGGTTTACCGTGAGTGTGGAGGTGGTAGCACTTCAGCTCATTACATATTTATGAAGTGCTATATATTATTTACAGGGAGAATCCATTACATCATTTGTTAGGGGATGGAGGAGAGGAGGACACATCATCAGTTAAACTGTATTTTCAAAGGGAATATCATGAAAATATCCCCATTTTCTCCCTCTTCAACATTTGATATCTGCAACAAATATGGGAGGTATTACCGTCACATTGCCACCCCACGTCATGCTTTCTGAAACAGCCCTACATTTAACAGTTTACATTCCCAGTTTTTCATGTGTCAAAGAAAATGTTAGAAGTACAAATCACCAGTACAGATCTTTGAGAACAGAATATTTAATTTGCTTATCTAGCAACTTTTTTGTCCTGGTACTAATGACATGGGTACTGTAGTATTCAAACTCATTTGCACAATTATTGATTTTGTTAAGAACATCTGACTTATAAGAGATAGGCAAAAACAGTCTTGTGACTTGCTTATCAGGATCAGTCATTAAATTTTTTACTTAGTCTACACAAAAATAGTAATTTTGATATAATTTGATAACGTTAGATTTGAAAGCAAAAGCATGATAATTCTTGTCAAGTTACACCAGGTCCCATGTTATCGTAAATTTAATCATTGATAAATTAAATTAGGTTCAATAGAGACCTTTTCTTTCTACTGTAACAGAAAGAACTTTCACATCTTTTAGTTATCTTGTCAATTTAAGCTGATGCTGAAAAAACTGAAGGAATGATACCTTGAAACCTGAAGGAATAAAATTAATGTGGCCTAAAAAAAATCATATCGGCATGGCTATTCAATGTGAATTATGGTGTCATTTACATAATGCACAAATGTGATATGATCAAATATCTGTATCTGTATAGCCGGTATAACCACCCTTCGGCATAACACACCAGCTTGTGGACTACTTTTTGTTTGTAATGTTCAAACCTTGGTAATGATGAAATATTGCAATAAATTACCGGCTGCCTTTATGCTTTATTCCCTATAACATTGTGTAAAAAAAAAAGATGGAATGATTATCGTCCTAAAGGTGACTACTAAAGGAAAATACTGTTACAGTGATGTAATAATTTGAAGCATGTATTTTCCCCCTTTGAAACAACGACAACTAAAAAAGCTATAATAGTGCTGTACATGTAGGCAATTACCATTATGATAACTATCATGTTGTACATTTTATTGATAGAAATTCAACAATAAAATAGAAGAAAACAAAACAAAAGCAATTTTGTATGAGACACATTAGTGGGCTGTCCCATGCACATATGTCAACAACAGCCCATTATGTGATATTTGGAAAGGTGGTTTCTGCTGTCTGCAATCAAATTAAGCACCCATTGCTCTGATTGGATGCTGCTGTCCCTGGGGCTACATTTGCCCCCAAAACATGCAGATTACAAGGAAAGGGGATTTAGCCGTGATAGACTGATTAGATATTGACAGACTGAGAGAAAACATGGCCAAGTGATGGAGTTGCCTGGACAGTTTGGGACTTCCACTCTAAGCCTGTGTTTGTCTTGTTGTCAGGAGGATCGATACAGATGCTGACAAATAGCTCAGAGGAAATGACTCCGGCAGCCCTAGTGCTCAGAGGTGCAGTTGAGAGACTGTCAGTGAACAACCATAACCGTCTTACATTTTCTCTCTGACAGAACAGGTACTGGCAGCAATGTCCCCCCAGGACAGTATCTCTCCAACATCTCGTTTTCCACAGTACTGTGCCATTAATTTAACTCTGCAAGGTCTGGAGTCAGCTCAGGTTCAGTCGGCACCGTCTTTACTCTGTACAGTGAGTGAAAGCTTTGTAATGATATGATGATACGGGGGACAGGTCTAATAGGTAACAAGATTAAAACAGCTCTTTGATATGTCTACAGGCGGAAATCAAGGTTCCAGCCTGGCTTTCAGAGAAAGCTTTCATCTCAAAAACGGAGATAGCAAGGCGTTGCGGAAATGTGCTCTAGACGACCATTAACCCTAACCTTATCTACCATTCCCGTATTGAGTAGGAGTATTGATGGAAGGAGCTTACGTGCCAAAATGAAACTTCAGTGACGTCTCACAGATATACAGTCTTCATTTCCATCTGCTGGGAGAAACCAACTGTTGCATATTGCAAGTTAGATCAATCTCTCTGTCTGGTTTTGGAGCTTGGCAAACTTTTGTGGCTACAGTTACTGTCTATCTTAACAATCCCATCTCTATTTCATGTAAATGGCATCATTTTTGGGTAATCAAATTTTTGCAGAGGATAGAGATGGGAGTCATGCAGGAGCTACATAAGGATCACTGGATACCAGGTTATGTGAATATAAACCCTTCAGTGTGTAATGGGGGAATGATAAGGGGAGTTACATGTATCTGAAGAAAACCTGTCAACCAGGTTGATTCTTACTTCAAGGCAGTTTCCCTTTTAAGGATTTTCATGATATATGCATGATTTTGTGTGACAAGACACAAGTATAGATTGAAGTGCACTCCAACTCTAGTATCCAAGGCTGCGCTATTAAAAGTAACTTACTAGGTTTTACAATAATTTTTGCACTGGACTTACCACTTTGTGTTAACTTTATGTTTATTCCTAGGAATCTAAATTAGATCTAGTAAAAACAACAATTGCCTACCAGTCTTCTGGAGTCCTGTTGTTGTAAGAAACCCCATTTTTGGAACTATATTGTTTATTGCTCCATTCTCTCACTAACATTAGCCTGAGGAGAGAATACTGAGTGGTACTTCAGAAGGTCATATATTACCCAACCTTGCCCATTACAGCACTTTCAAAGTATGAAGTAGGATCAGCAGAGACAGATAATTGTCCAGAAGAATGACTGTTTACTTTCATTTGAGGCTACATCTGCATTCAGCAGCTATTATACACAATCATAGTAATCATCCAACATAAAGGAAACAATACATTGTAATTCCATGAGCTTTGCAGGACCTGTCCTTGACGAAAATTATTCTATGTTTACCAAGTACATTTGTCCTGAAAATGTGCTGCCAAAGCCAAAACCATAAACACGTGTCCATTTAATGGTAGAGCGTGGGAGAGAGTGAGAGTGAGTGAGTTAATGGTCCCCCAGCCATCCAAACTAACATGTTGTTTGTACTGATAGTGGCAGGTTCAATCACACATGTGGAGCCAGGTTGAAATTTCCGTGCAATCAGTGACCTTAAATTTTGGAGTTACCCAGAAGAACATCATCAGCTGCAAAAAAAAAAATATGTGGCCATGAATACATATATTTCAAAAAAGTACTGTAGAACTTGTAAACCATAGAGCACAAGCTTGATGTACATGTAGGCTATTAGTTTTACTGGCAAATGAGTCAAGATTTAAAAAAAAAAAAACAAAGAAGTTGATAGCATATAGTCTTATGACACATTACAGCAAGAGATTAACTTAGTCACTGCACAGATTTTTAAGCCTGTGTCATTCTTCTATTCTAGGTATAATGTTAAAGGTAAAAGACAGTAAAAATTCCAAGGGCATTAAGAAAGCATAATGTTCTGCACACTTGAATTATCAGTCATAAACCATATTCACAAGTTTCCATTCAGCCATGGTCTTGCAAAATCACATGTTGTTTGACGTACCACAGTACCAGTGTATAAGTTATCCAGGGGAATCAAAATGGAAGTGAAAACAGAATCATAGGTCACTTTTATTTGCTGACCTCTGATACCGCAGGTCGGCAAATGCTCCAGGATATGGACTGTACCCAGTGTGCGTGCAATAAGCCATTATACGAACGCCGTGCCTCTCAGCCGTAAAGCACAGGATGGCAGGAATTTGGGCTGTAGGTTTCTGACTTTTTTTATTCAAGTATGTCTTTTAGGTCAGTAGTTCCTGAAATATGTCCTAATAGCAATAGACTTGATAAACTACGACAGCTAATAAGCTCTCACCGCAGGAAGCTTGTGGAATATTCATGGACTTTTCCCAAAGTGCTGTGCAACCATACCTGAAATAACTAACCTCTCTGTCTTCCTTACCTGAGTATATTCATAACCATGTGTGAGGGCTTTAAAACTCTCTCTGAGTTACTGTGTCTCCTTGTTCTTGTCACCCTGTAACATCAGTTGTACACACAGGTTTTGTAAAAGAAATGGCAGGAGCTTTTGTGAAGCTGGCTCAAACTTTGACTTATAGGAAGCTAGTGGAAGTAGATGGACAGGCGTGCAGAGAATGACAAGCAGGTCTCTACTTTTAGCAGATTTCAGTCATGCATATTATGTGTTACCTTTAAGTTATTCTCAGCCATGCAGATCCTAATGTTACAATCCATCCTTCTAACTGTGAGGAGGGTTCAATTCATCAGTTGCCAGTCTTACCCAGAATCAACAGGCTAAACTCTAATTCTGGGGCCATTATGAAGTCTTTTATAAATATATAGATTTCAGTAAGTTGAACTCTGCTGTAGTCCCAGTTTACCTTTTGCTGTCTTTATTGCCTCATTTTTACCTTCAGTTTTACATGACATATTCTATGCTTACCTACAAATCTCTTGTGCGACTGGAATGAAAGTGACTCTGCTGTCAGTGGCACCATCCCTGTGTGGATGATGAATATATGGTGTTTGAGGCTTTAAGTGATTTGCTTGTTCAGCAAGAGTGCTGATCCCTCCGTGGGTTCAACCATACTGCTAGCTGGCGGGGAAACATTCTTCTACACAGCACATTACTTACATGCTTAGGTCACTGCACATCTGTGTATATAGGACATTGATTAAGTGGTCACCTTTGGGGAGGGTACAATTTTCTTAGGTCAGCAAACCCGAGCAGCAATGTGAAATTTATAAAGGTTACCAGCGTAGGTTCACAAAAGCGTAAAAAATGCACAGCTGTGCTATAACCAGTCTTAATGTGATATGAATATTCATCTCAAATATTGATTTTTATGGAAGGTATATCTGTCATTAGTAGTCACTTCAATAGCTCAGTCTGTTCTGTTATAGAATGTTTGCTTTGCTCCATATTCTCCTGATTGCTTCTTTTACTACTAGCAGTTACAGTAGTACTTTCCTCAGGAAGCCTGGAGGTAGAATTCACGTGCGGGAGGAATGAACTTTGACAAGAGATTGAATCAGATTCACTTCAGCTGCCAGTTGTTATCTGCCTCCTTTAAAATAGCTAGACTGATTGACAGCACTGTTTAGCTTATGTAAAGGCAGTTTTACTTCTCGTATGTGATAGAATAGCCGTATTGGTCCTACCGGGATTAGAGATCTTAGTGATGTATGGTAATGAGGTAACTTCAGACAGACAATAAGCCTGGTACATACACCACAATGTGCACTATCTGTACTGTAATCCCTGTAGTCATTGTCTCCTCCAGCCAGATTTCCCACCGGATGCTGCGGATCTGTAGAACTCAATCATACGGCAGGAGATGTGATGTTCCTGCACATGTCCCAGCCACTGCTGGAGTAAATTGGAGGCTTTGTGATGCTATTCCACATCAATATGCTCAATTGCAAATGTTCAGTCTAAAGGAAGGCTCAGTTAATCCTGTTACACAGACATGTTAGTCTTCATGTTGGGTGACACTGATTGGCTCATATGTATGCAAACATTGTTACCCGTATGCAACATGATGAGTTTTCTTACCTCACCTGTAGTTTTGTATTTATGTCAGTTGTTAACTCAGAGGGTCTATTTCAATATATTTTGCAGTTAGTTATCAGAATATCTCAAAATGGCATGGCAATGCTTAGTGTGCTTTCAAAAATGGTCTGTCCATAGTGCTGAATTTCCTGTTGTTCTAACTTGCCCTGTCCTTGGTGCTGATTTACTATTGTGTGTAGCATTAGGAAATTTATACTATAGAATGTAATCCTGCATACTGTGGCTTTGATCTAATCATTCCAATCAATATTTATTCACCTTCCATGTTGATAACAAGCTCATTTCTGGGTGAAACATTATCCCTGTTAGGTCTTTGTTTGATAACTACTGGGAAAAGAAGGCTCAATACAATATCTTAAAGTTTGCTATTCTGAAAACCGTAAACAAAGCAACGCTATATATCAGCACTATTTAAGTTTCTTAATGATGTGATTTAACATAATTTTTGTACAAAACAGACAGGTTCACACTGGATCATGTGAAAAGTTTAAACACAACTTGCTTGTATGCACTTATAATTAAGAGCACCACAGCCCTGTACTCTGCACATATTGTCTGACCTACTTCTACACGTTAAATATATGACAGAAATGATTGATGTAGATATGGAAGTCCTGACTCGATGTTTTTCCCCCGTAGGTCACCCCGCGACCCCGAACAGCGGATCATCAAGCGAGTGATAGCCCTGGAAGGAGACACAGTCAAGTAAGCTGCGCCTCACTTAGCCTCACGTTTATTGAACTGGATTGTATCGTTTGAAACTTATTGGCAGAAAATGTGCTCCACTGCAATAAACTGTAGCCGGTTGTAGATGGCATTGGCCACCGATCTGACGTGTATCAGTAGTAACATTATTCATGTCACTATATGAAATGCCTGTATATGGAATGAAAAGGGGCTGCAATGGAAAATAGCTAAATGTAATATTCATTTGAACTTATTACATATTGTAAAAGTTAAGTTTTAAGGAGATGTATTATTACATTAATATTTAAACCAGCAAGGTTACCTGAGTAACTATTCGTGATGTGATCTTAGATCCATCTTATGATTGACTCTCTGTTGTGTTGTGGATTGATGTCAGTAGATTCCTGCATCAGAGGAAGCCGCACCTCCAGGCACTTCCTGATCTTAGCTATTAGCTTTCCAATCAGAAAATGCATCAGTCTTTACATAAATCAGGGAAGTAATTCTACTGTAGGTGCCAGAAACTTCAGATATTGGCACAGGAGCTTCAGATATTCTTACCTTTCAGTGACAAACTCCTTCATTCAAAGGTACAATGTAGTTAATGTTAACTGCTTTTATACCATTCTGTATGAAGTCCACCATATCTAACTTTTATAACATTTTAAAGAATACCACAAATATTTTTATTGAACAATGTCTTAAATATTACAAGTTTCAAACTATATTCCTATTAAGTATTCCCTTTCTGAATGTCCTAGATTTGATCTGTGTATTTGATCTTTTAAGCCTTTGCCCTGACTTAAGATCTTTATAACAACCAACCAATGGACAAATGTTTGACAGAACTGGGGCTTCTGAATGTCAGTTCTTCAAATTTACTCAACCCTTCCTCCTAACCTTACAAAAGTAATCACTTACAGGGCATATTGATGATCAATATTTTCGTATTCAAATCTAGCCTGAGGCCCAATTTTGTGTGTTTCTAAAATGAAAAGAAGAAACATACTCAATATTTAGGCCAACTTGTGTTTTGTAAAAGTCAAATCTTGGATTCCTTACAGGTGTTGTTTTTTGGTGTTAGATAGAAACCTGATGCAGTTACCCATGTAATGGGTGGGTGTGAAATGTAATTACGTGACAAATTTGATCACCTTTGCACATAGCATAGAGGAAAAAATGAGGCCAATCAATTCAGGATGATCACATTATCCAAATATGAATAAGTAATATCTCTGTACAGTTTTCCCATGTCATTGACCTGAATCAGTCAGAAAGAGTAAAACAAGTGCAGGCCCTGTTTTACTGTTCAAATTCCAAGCTACATGATTTATTAAAGACAAAGAGAATGCTGTCACCAACAGCCCTCTAAGCAGCATGATAAGTTGCCTCTGTTAGCCAAGACTTTGTAATATCCATCTCAAACTGTTGGTCTAAAGGTCAGGGGCATACAGAGTGAAGCAAAATTGATGTTCCATCATCTTAAAAGACAGGACTTAATTCTGGCACTTTTATCTTGTTACTTGAATGTCATTATGATGAACTAGAAAAGAATAGGTCTTTGCCTGGCAACTGAATGTCTCTGACGTAGGTTTTAAACCACAAGACTCAAGAGACAACATTAAGCCTGCTGACGTTAAAGAGTGCTTATGCAAGCATACAGGGACATTTCTGCCTTATTTAGGATTTCTATGATGTACAAAGTGATTGTTGTCCAGTCAGTTTCCACAGGGTTTATACCCTGACGTCACTGTTTCCATGGAGGCATATCATTTCCTGATTATTGGCTTAAGGTACAGGATGTGCTTGAGATGAAAGCCATAGGGACAGTCTCTCAGTAACGTCATAACTTAAAAAAAATTTAAAAATAACCTTCTGCATGTTTAAACCCCATCTTGATGTTTGAAATTAATAAGCATAATTAGAGTGAGTACGTGATGCAGCAGCAATATTTGTTTTATTTTTCATCAAGTTTTATGTTGTTTTTTTATTTAGAAAGAGACATTATTTTTGCCAACAGCAGATGAAATCAATTTTTATTTATTTTATTCTTGCATCAAGACACACATTCAAAATGCCAGACTGAGTGTAAGTTGTGAATATTTTTTGATGGATGAAATTGGCAAACATTTTGAGAAAATTGACACAAAGGACATCTTTGCCAACCCAGATGTAATATTCACTGATAGGTTTCTTATTATTAATAATTGTCTACCATGTCACTAAGATATTTATATAGAATTGTCATTATATCTAATGGTGGTAATGGTCTATTTTTTCTTTCACCCCAACAGAACGCGTACGTACAAGAACCGATATGTCCGAGTACCGTCTGGTCACTTTTGGGTGGAAGGAGACAACTTTGGCCACAGTCTGGACAGCAATTTCTTTGGACCAGTAAGTTTTGTTTGGCTTCAACAGAGTTTCTACACTTTGTAATAAAATGGGCACAAAAATACATTAGGAAGGGAAACCTAGTTTTGCAAATCACTGTGGGTTGAATGCAAATTAAATCAAAAGTCAAGTCTTATATTAAGGCTTTTGTATTATGCTTTTAATTATATAGTTAGAAAAAAGTGGGTTAAAGGACTCAGCATGGCTCTAATAACAATACAGCATTTCAAAAAAAATTCTTGTAAGAAAATCTACTCAGCAATCTTTTGGTAAAGAAATTGCAGCAGTTGCTATCTTTATTGCCAACTTCCTTTGGTATTAAAGAAAGCATGCAGTCTGACCTGTTGAGGTTATGTAAGAACATTATGGATGTGGTAGTGTAGTGGATTAGACAACTCATGGGCAAATTGGGACTTCTAATCCAAACACCTACTTGTTGTGTGAGATTACCTGACAGTCTGGATTAGAAAACTCTTCCATCGCCTGCCGCCTCCTTTCAGCTTAGTTTGTAGGAGGCCATTTTAATGACGCTGGGGCTTTGACCCAATGATGTATATAAGATGATTATTGTATTAATTTTGAAAACTTCAATCAAAAAGTAGATTTTGTCTGGTTTTGAACAAAGGAATCTTACCAGTAATGTCAGAGTTCCTACAGTAAATGAGAATCTATGACTAGTATGAGTGTGTTACATGTATCTCAGAATTATCATCAGATGTTCTTTAAAAGCTACCACATAGACTACACCAATGACATCTTCAGATTTCAAGTGGTATAGAAGTTTTAAAAAGTTCCCAAGCAAATTGACACTATTCATGTAACATTACATAACAATCATGGTGATAAACTTAAAATCTTTTTTTTTCCTGCTTCTGTTCTTCATTTTAATGTGCATACATAAGGTTATTGTGAAGTTTTATTGTTGTGTCATGCATATGACTACACATATTTTTGCCTGTCTCAGGTGTCGGTAGGTCTGATGCATGCCCGAGCGTCACACATCCTCTGGCCGCCACAGCGATGGCAGCGGATCAAACCATTCCTCCCTGACGACAGGAGGCCGCTTGATAAGGACACCATCGCCCACCTGGAGGAACAAGGGGCTGTCTCCATTCCTAACACATAACAGCTGGTAGTGTTGTAGAAAAGAGGACAATTTTTATTACTGTACACATTGTGACAAGTAACAATTACTTTTCATCAGGGATTTACGCAATGTAGTCCATGGAACCAAATTAGTATAATTTGAAATCATGATAAATGTACATGTATCAGAGATATGCAGTTTAAGTTTTAGGTAAAGGGACCTTTTGCAGTGCACTTTGGGCAGGTGGTCTCTCTACATCTTGCCAAACTCATATTTATGTCAGTTGGTGTATGGAGCCTCATTATCACATTCTGTGCAAATCCTTTATTGTCTGAATAAGACTCTCACTCAGGTACAGCTATCAAGTTCAACTGAATCTACTATGTAGTACATGTAGAAAGCCATACTGAAGCAGTACATTAACAATAGGCTACTGTTGCACACTGGCTCTGCAAGTTAAAGCATCATGGTAGATTCTTTTACCTCTTAAAGTTATGAGTTACATTTAAGGGCAGTTCCAAATGGTGGAAAACAGCTACACAATTGTATTTGCCTGTCATTTACATTTTTTTAAGCCTAGCTCCTTTGAAGAGTCAAGTTTTCTTGCATATATCCTGCCTTCAGGTGCTCTTATCTTATTCAAATTGCTCTGTTAATTGTACCTTTGCTCCAAGCGCAAATTATCTTCATACAATTCTGACTTATTGCATTAAAACTTTCCCCATTGGGGCCATCATTAGAGAGTACATTCTTCGTTGATAAAGTTGGATACTAGAAATTAATGGCATTTCATAAGTTCACTAATTGGGAGAAAGTAATAAATTACAATACTAGTACATGATTAGGTATTTGGGAATTGAGAAGACAGATGTGGAGTTCTCCCCTGGAGATATTGCTTTGTACGTAAGATAATTATTTGGTTATATAAGTTAGAATAAATCTTCTCAAACTAGCTGCCAAAATGGCTCAAAATTATGAACCATAAGAGAACTAAGCCCCTGTTACTTTAATTACAAAGAATGGACCAGTCAAGAAGACACACACCCCCTTCTTTCTGGCTTTCCTTAGAAAAGTTTTGCAATAATCCTTGCTTTAGGATGTAAAAATAGTGGAGAGCCGGGTAGTTTAGCACAGCATGAGCATGAAATGCAATTAAACCAGCTTTCATTGAATCCCAGGGCTGATTTGTTGTCACAAGTCATCTGGGACAACTCCTACCTGAGTGTGCCACTCAAATGGATCCAGAGATTCCAAGTTTAAACAGCTATTTGAATGAGGAGAAATGAAGGATGAGCATGTACACTAGACTAATATATAATAAAGGTTTGCCAGACATTTGCTGTGAATATAAATCCTGTCTCATCTGGAAAATTAAGTTAGAAAAACTTGCTATTCCATCAAATATTTCTTGTGCACATACATTTTAATATAATTGTTAAGTACAACATTAATCCTGACTTAAAGTCTGCTATGAAAACATTTGCTCCTTCATGAAAATTGGGAGATCTACAGTTACTGTGGCTCCATCACTAGACTGAGTGCTCCAAGGCAGACAGGCAGTCCCAAGTTGAGCTTCGACTGACGCAAAGCAGCAGAGAGGTCATTATTTCTACACCGTTGACTGAACATTAGTACTTTTACTTCATTACTCCACAGAACCTGAGGGAGAGCTGGAATAAGCTGTGCAACTACCCAGTACAAGTCTGCAGTCACCTCTAATCCCAGTGACCTTCTGGTTGGAAGTAAAATTTACTGAGGCATGGTGGAGGTTGAGTCTGATGCCACCTGTAGACATGATGCTGAAGTTAACTACCACATTGTCATATGTAATCTTGGAATATGTGAACTAGTATTATGATAATGGGAAACAGCCGTTGGTTTATTGTCCTTATTCATAATTTACCTGGCACAGGGCAGATCAAGATTACCCAGCAGTACATCAAACATTTCATGGAGGCTGGCAAAATTGGCGTACAAATTACCACAAAAAAGTTGAAAAGCCTCAAAACTTTCCACCCTGTTGCCTGGAAACATTTGTATGTTGTCCTTTGTTAATTTGTGTGGCTCTCTTGTTATACTAGTACAGTCCAAAAATAGTGCAGCAAAACAGACACCAGGCTAGGTGCAAGGTGACATTATAAGTAAGTTTGCCATGTAAACTTATTAGGCACAAAGAAAACGCAGCCATTAGAGCACCAGCAGAGAAAAGCTTTGTTGTGAAAGTGTCTTGTCTTCTAGACGTTTTCGTGAACGTGCAATTGGAGCTTCAATTATGTATTTGAAGCTCCTTAGAAAGACCATCCTCCCAAGGCAGAGTCCCACCCCCAGCATACGTCAAGTAACACAGAATGGGACAGTTCTAAAGCGCCACCCAGTGACCAGTGAAAGTACTGCCATTACTTGCTCATCCCCCAGCCTAAGCTGCTGTGTGAGCTTTTCAAGTACATGTATTGGAAAGGATTGAATTTGTGGAAGATTTACCCCAATTACATGTATTATTCTCCAGTTCAAGATGTAATATAACAATACCAGGTATCACATTTGAAAGAGTGTGTCATACCCACAGGCCAAAAAAGGCACCACCAAGTGGCCTAAGCTATCATTGCAGTAAAATCCATATCCATATCCACTGATACATGAGAGCCAAAAATTTATTGAGAGAAATGACCTTACAGTACAAGTTGAAAAAGAAGTTGAATTAATATTTATAGAACTCCCACCGTCACCATTAACAAAACAAAAAGGCGTTATAATAGGCTGCATATACCGGCCTCCAAACTCGGATATAAAAAACTTTATAACTTACCTTACACCAATCTTAGATGCTATCGATAAAGAAGGAAAAAACTGTTACCTAATTGGTGATTTTAATCTTGATCTCTTAAAAAACGAAAGTCATTCATTAACTTCAGACTTCCTTAATAGTCTGTACTCGGTAAGCTTCCATCCAACTATCACCAAACCCTCAAGAATAACAGACAAAACAGCAACTCTAATAGACAATATTATGACTAACTCCTTATCTAATACACACACATCGGGTCTGCTTGTCACGGACTTATCTGATCACCTTCCAATATTTTACATTATAAATTTTGAACACAACAGAGATGTAAACAAAGAAAATGAAAAACGCAAATGCAGAAAATTTACCAGGAGTAATATCGAGAGATTTAAACAGGCATTATCAGATGAAACCTGGGACAGTGTGTATTGTACAGATACAAATGTTGCCTACACAAATTTCCTAAAAATCTTTTCTTCACATTTTGACAAATGTTTTCCACTTACGGCAATCTCAACAAAGCGTCACCTTGGCATCGACAAACCTTGGTTTACAACAGGGCTGCGTAAGTCATCTATTGGAAAAATAGGCTATATAAGAAATATGTAAGGAATCCTACACCATTAATATTACAAAGATATAAAACGTACAGAAACAAATTCAATTGTCTGATTCGTATGTCAAAGAGGAAATATTACCAAGACCAATTCACAGCGGCATCAAATAATATAAGAAAGACTTGGAAAGTAATTAATGAAATTCTCAACCGGAAAAAGGAACAAATAATCTTCCTACCAAATTCCATGAACAAAATTCAGAGATATCTGATCCTAAAGATATAGTGGAAAAACTT